GCCCCTGGGGTTGGGCTCCTCGGATGCCAACGGGGACAGCCCCTGGAGGTTGGGCTTCTTGGATGCCAAGGGCCGGGGGAGTGCCCCGAGGGTTGCGTTGTTTGGACGTCAGGTGGGGCAGCCCCCGAGGATTGGGTTGCTTGGATGCCAAGGGGGGCAGCCACTGGTGGGTTGGGCGCCTTAGATGCCGGGTGGAGCACCCCCGGAGGCTGGGCTAATTGGATGCCACGTGGGGCACCACCGCACTGGAGGTTCTGCTCCGTAAAAATTACGTATTACATTGCTGAAATTCGTACCCAGTTGCCCGGGCCCATGATTTGCCTTCAATTAGCCGGCTATGCAAAATGACTGTCGTGACGCACGAATAGTGGTATCAGAATTTTACATTATGATTACGGAGTGGGTTGAAGGCGCTCTTCTGTATCCTCATGTGAGCGGCCCGGTGCATGTGCAATGATGGTGACCAAAAATGTTCATAATTTTGGATTCTCAATTGAGTCGTAATTTTGAAAAATGCCCGAAGAATATTGTTTTGATTATCGCAAATAATAATTTTTTTTTTTATCTGTAAGTCTTCTTTTAAAATAGAGAGCCCAAATGTTTAGTTCAGATTGTGGTTTTTAAGTCTTCTTGCTTTGGTTATCGTATTCTCATGCACTGAGAGTCGCCGTTTACAAGATTGCAACTTATTCAAAAGCGGTTGCGAATTCAATAAGTTTCGCAAGGATAAAATGAGGTTTCGTCGATGAACTGAGAATAATCAAAATTGAAGACGAGCTACTTTGTTCACTGGTCCAGTTGAAAGGCATGAAGCGTGGATGGATGGAGCATGGATGTCCTCCGGGCTTCTACGGGCACTAGGTATATGTAACGTATACAAATGAATGACTGTAGGTTTTTAATGGTATATATGCCAAAGCGTTGGAGGAAAAATAGAAAAAAAAGTATAACCTATATAATTTTTTGAGGGTCCAATCAGAGAAGATATATTCTAGAGACTCCGCACTGTCCTCTTACCTACCTATGGTGTAAATGTTACTCAAGGAAGCCAATTCTCTGATTCACTTATTGATGACTCACGGTTTTAGATCAACTACCTAAAGTTTCTAAACAAGTTTTAAGTATGAATTAACTCTATTTTTAATCTTGATGATCAAGAACAGGTGTTCAAAACGCTAATAATTGCAGAAATGCGTTAGTCGTGATCAAATGTCATTTTTCAATCAAACTATACATGCTTGATCTGGCCATATGAGATCAAACTAAATCTAATCTGATAAGGAATTGTGAGCTTGAAACTTTTTTCAGGCTTTAAATGATCCAAATCCGCCAACAACAGGTTTGAAAGACTAATTACCAAAATGCGTAGCTCGTGATGAAGTGTCAATTCATAGTGCCATAAACGGAAATCTCGGAATTTCTGCCGTATTTTCTGACAGTTCGCGAAATTTAGCTGTCGATCGCCGTCGTAAAAATCACAATCGAAAAATTATTTTCTCGGAAATTTTCACCTTTTCGGTAACATAAAGACCCTTGATCTCCCCGCCCTCCCTCATCTGCCGTGTGTTTCTCTCTCAGAGGAAGTAGTACAGTCAATTTTGCGCCCTTCTGATCGCTTGAGAGACCTCTAACATTTTTTTTTTCTTTTCAAAATGATAATCGATTAGGGCACATCAAATCTGCGGCTGTGTTGCTCACGGATCCCTTGAAGCATCAATACAAATGAGACAAACGAAACAAACACAATATGGAAATAAAGTAAATGGAGCGACGCGCGTTGACGACGGCGCAGAGATACAACTATTCGTGCTTGAGGGATGTATGTGTAGCATCTGCAACATTGAAGGCGCGAGCTGGGAATTTGCGATGTTCCACAGCTCCGTTTCATGCTGCCAATGAGGTGTCGTGAGAAAAGTTAAGAAACGAGGCTCGACTTTTACGGCTCTTTTATTTACAGCTGTGTTGCTCACACAGCCTCCATAGCACCACTACAAGTACAAATGAGACAAACTGAAACAAACACGGTATGGAAATTATTCCGGTCCTCGGCCGTTACTTGAATGTGTTCAATTTTGCACTTTTTGCTCCGTGCAATAACTTAATAAACTTCGAATCTGAAAATAGCGTAAGACTGTGCTGACTTGCCAGAAATTTCTGGACCTTTTTTACGTCGGAATGCTCCCCCCCCCCCCCCCACCCCGCCTGCAAAATATCACTTTACGCTCCCTTAGCCGGCTAAGGGTCTACGCCCTGAGATGTGAGCCAGTCCGACCCTGCTTTTGAATTTATCTGTTTATTTCAGAGAAGACGGTCATTGTTTTGTCATGTTAGCAATTAGTAAGAATAGATTCATTCCATAGCATCAAACATCGAGCTCCTTTGCCATGCGAGCCTATTAGAACTATCAATCCGTTCTACAGAAACGTGCATGAGCTATACTGACTCTGCCGCAAGAATTCATTGAAACTATTGATTCATATCGCGGCAAAGTGTTGATTTCTTTGCTGTATGAACTCATTAACACTATCGATATATTACACAGAAATATGTAAGCTCCTTCTCTGTGAAAACCAAAAATGCAAAATTTCATCAGTTCATGCGACGAATTTTTGTTACAAATTCTGCGATATACTCTGTGTGCCATGAAATCTGCAGAATCAGATAAATCTTAATTTTGAAATTTTTTTGGGGGAAAATCATGAGTCAAATTTCGAAGTTTCTCATCGAATTCTGCAGGGATAACTTGAACGCGTCTGGCAAAAAGAAGCCAAGCCACATCAGCTATATATTGCCAAATTTAATTGGCCAATTTAATTGTTTACATGAAAACGGTTGTGCGGATTTTGGTGCAAATTTTAGTGAATTTTTATGGGGCAATTTAATTTCTTACAAGAGAACGCTTATGCGGATTCCTCTGAGAATTTTAAGGAATACGCCTCGTACTATGCTGAAATTTCACTAAAATTTGCACAAAAATCCGCACAGTCGTTTTAATGTAAAAAATTCAATTACCCAATTAAAGGTAATAGTTTCGTTCGCGGTCCAATTGTTGCCGGTCGCATACGTAGCCTGAAAAATTTCTTTTAATGTAACGTATCATTTTAAAGTAAAATGAAATTCCATCCGATGAAATTTCATTTTGCATCTCCGGGTATGAACTCATTGAAAATATCGAATCATCCCACAGCGCAGTGTGAGCTCCATCGCCGTTTAAACCGAGTAAAACTATCGATTTCACTCGGGCGCGACTGGCTGCATCCCCATGGCGGCGCGGCGTCATGAAGAATGAATGCACCGAGATGTCGCGTTGCGTCTCGAAGCGAGTGGAGTTATGGCCCGAAGCACGTGCTGCTCCCGTGAAGGAATGACTTTTTCCAGCCGACCCTAGCCACCCCCACCCCTCACCACCCGGCCCGCCGCCACCCCACCCAACCCCGGCCGCGCCCCCGAGCTTCACTGCACCCTTTTCCGAGGGTTGAAAGCTCTGCGCAAGTTCGGCGGGCTCGGGTTTTCCTCCCCTGCGAAAAGCGATCCAGTCCCAGAAAGTCGCTCTCAACTAACCATGTCGATCTCGACCTCCGTGCGGTGGTAGTTCAAGTCACTCAAACCTCCTCGTTTACCGCTCCTCGAGAAGGTTCAGGTTCGAATCCCTCGTTCCTCGCGTTCGGTCCGCGGTGATATCGACGAGTGTGTGTCAAGTGTTTGTGAAGTCACCTAGGATGAGTGTGTCCCGTTGATGGAGGGAGTTGCGATGACATAGAGCTTGGGCAAGAATGGGCACCGTTCTGAGCTTCAGTCCGCGGGAGAGGCGGCCAGTATACACGACGACGAGTCACAGCATGCCGGGCGGGCCGGGGGAGCTGACCCTCAACAACCTGGCCTACGAGCACCTCAACAACGTGAAGAACATGAACCAGGCGCTGGTCCCCTCGGTGAACAACATCAACAACAACAACATAAACAATGAGAACATCAAGATCCTCTCGGAGAAGAACGCCCTGGACAAGAGCTTCAAGAAGCACTCGCTCTTCATAAACGCCCTCAGCTGGAAGCGGTTCTCGACGGCCAACAACAACAAGAAGAAGCTGGACAGCAAGAACAAGAACCTGACGCTCACTTACCGGCCGCCGCTCAACGACAACGTGAACCCGATCATCATGGACAAGAACAAGAACATCCAGAAGTCGGGCACCATCTCCTGCTACTACCCGGTCGTCAAGAGCGCCACCACGGCCTGCATCTCCAGCAGCGTCACCCTCGACCTCACCACATGCCCGCCCCCGCCGCCCTCCAACATCAACAACAACAAAGACACTAGCAATAACAACAACAATAACAACAACAACCACTCGAATTCCAACCGCAATAACAATAACAACATCAATAGTAGTAACAATAACAATAACATCAACAGTAACAATAACAATAAGAGTAGTAATTTTAGTGAGAAGTTAGCGCCCAAGCAGATCCTAGTGCCGGCCCCGACCAACACGTGCACGTCCCAGTTGCTCCCCAAAAAGACGGTCATCCAGGCCTCCACCTCGGAATTGCTCAAGTGTTTAGGAATCTGTCTGCATATCAAGTGCCACCGACTCAAAGACTTCCAGGCCGCTGACGCCATCATGTGGCTCAGGACCGTCGACAGGAGTCTCCTCCTTCAAGGCTGGCAGGTAGGCAACCATTCGTACTCCATCATCCTTCAAGGATCCACATTTCTCCCGTGCTAAGGAAAAACACCGTTTGAGCCTTCGGGCGTAGCCAAATTTCCCAAGATAAAACACGAATTTCCTGGCAAACTCATGAATATTTTCCCTCCAATTTTTCAGGTAATTTTGTTCGCAATTTCACCTAGAGTCCCTGAAAAATCCAAGGAAAAGTATTCATAACTTTCCCTAAAAATAAAAATTTTATCGAGGGAAATTTGGCAACTCTCAAATGTTCATACGGCGTTCTTTCTTAGCACGGCAGACTTTTATGAAGCAGCCCGAGACATGGTAACAGGAGAAAACAAGGGGAGAAAATGGGAAACAAGGCTAAAATACAACGATATAACACCTGAAACGTTTCCACTCAAAACCGAGTAATTTTCAGCCGTAATAATACATTACGAATTAAAATTTTCGATGAAAAAATCCGAGACCTACATGTTGGTGGCCGAGAAATTTCTCGAGTGTTTTATTGTCGTATTTTAGCCTTGTTTCCCGTTTTCCCCTTGTTTTTTTCCTGATCCTTCAAACACATTGTAACTGGCTGGTAAACTGCCAGGCTAAGGACGAAAGCCATATGAACATTCGAGAGTTGCCTTTCCTTCGATTGGGTGTTTCCTTTTGAGGGAAGTTATTAATATTTTCCCTTGATTTTTTCAGGAACTTAAAGTGAAATTATCTGACAAATGAGAAGGAAAATATTCATAAGCTTACCAGGAAATTTGGGTTTATTAAAGGAAATTTGGCGACGCCTGAAGGTTCATACGGCGTTTTTCCTTAGCACGACAGTAAAGGTCATCATACAGGCCGTTCATACATTACATCTGGCACACGGAGGGGAATGAACGCCGGAATGTCTGACAAACGGGGGATGAAGGACATCAAGCCTAACACATCGTGAGGCTACCGCCTGTAATTTGAACATTTAGGAAAGAAAAATAAAACGAAAAAACTTAAATTTTTCGTTTTTCCTCCGAATAATCAAAGGTTATGTAGTGCGCTCAACCTGTGCCTGATCGCTCGGTGCCTGGCACATGGGGGAAGAATGCCTAGAAACTCAGAAAACACATCTCACGTAGTTCATGGACAGCCTTATAGAGAAATAATTTTAGGTAATCTGAGCTTGGTACGGCAAAATGGACCGACATTTCAGTCCACGAGCGCCGCATAATATCGCTCCATAGCAACGAATCGAATGCATGAGTGCACTAAACTAATAATCATGTGTATACGACATATTTATGATAGGTAAGTCGTTAAGAGAGCATGTTTAAAAAAGCAGATTCCTGTTCGTCAAATATCGAAACATGAAACCGCGCCGATTGGCGGGAAACAATTATAGATTCGTGGTAAGAGCGAAAAATTGCGTGTATATGAGACCCGCGAACCACTTCAGTCATCCCCTCTCCTCGTTTCTGCGAATGATGCAACTATAAAAGCACGTATCGTCCTGGAAGGCGACGACGTTGCAAACCTCCTATCTTATTGAACTTTAATTCATGTCACCGATGTCATCTCTTTGAAAGCATGGTTTTGGAAAACATGAAGCACGCCATTATTATCTCAGAATACGATTATTTTAACGCCTGGGATATGTTTTTGCCTACCCGGTCAGTTGAAGGAGAATCAGACTCTGTTGCTTACTGAGTGCTCCATTCTGTGACTGAGAGCGTCATTTGCCCTCATTTTTATTGGCAAAAACACTTCTTGAGCTTTGCAATAGTTGTATCTTCACAGGCGTCAGAGCCTGCATGTAGGGTCTACATTTGTAGGCCTCACATTTTCACAGGATCCCCATAGATGGATATCCCTGGCTACCCGTACCTTTCCAGATGAGCTTATAAAATAGATAAACCGATAAGATAAAGCTGGTGACATTGAAAATCGTCCCTTTAAATACACACAAATTATCTATATCCAGACGAAGTATGCTTCCTGACCTAGAGTCGACGTTTTATAATAGCTTTAAATGTTGGAAAATAAAGTTCCCTTCCTCGAGGAATTGCCCTTACCGACATAGTCATGTATGTGGCTTCATACCTCCAGAATTTCCTTGAATATCGCCTTCGCCTACTGACCTGACAACGGACAAACTACCTATTTCGTGCGACAGCCGAATGATGTGTTCATTAAATGTATTAAAAGGAGCTTAGATGATCTTTAAGTAGCCTCTGGAAACATGTAAATATCATACAGACGTCAGCAAGGACGATTCTTAAAATATGACACCACTGTTCCGCCTTCATTTGAACCTTACAACGAATCGATTCTTAAACAAGTTGGATTTTGCAATCGCTAGCGATAGCAATATTCGTCATGGGAACGTTAGCTTCTGGGATATGAAAATGTTAAGGTACAGTTCGTTTGTAGTATCTTCTGAATTGAAGGGGCTATGTAATTTTGTGTTGACATCTCTTTTTTAACATTTTTAATTATTTTCTTTGCATACAAGCAAGCTGTTATGTACCAATTATTTATTTTCGTTGGATTATATAGGTATGGTTTTCGGAAGTTAACGCATTTAAGTTTCAGGTTCGCTTTTTCGGCGTAAAGTATACATAAGGTGTCCCAAACGCACCGGGACTTGTTCTGTAACTTCAAAAGTAAGATAGATACAGACATGATCTTGATCTCATTTTAAAGATCAACTCAATACCTATCGATTAAAACCAAGATCAGCTCAATCGAATAAAAATTGACCGAGTAAATGGCAATTTGAAATCAGTGAGGAAAGTTTACCCCTACGGTTTTTAAGGAAAATTCTTCATCGCCGTGAATCGAAAAATCGGCCTGTAAAGTGATGCTTATTGTGTTTTTTGATTTTCGAGGTGTCATTTATCAACATTTTGTCAGTCTGGGAGGGGGGGGGAAATTGGGAGTTTATGCCGATGATACGCTCGTGCTAGCAGCGTCGAAAAGTTACAGGGAGGCTCGTTTTAATGCTCAATCCCACCTAAATAGGATTAATAAATGGACTAACAAAGATAAAACAAAACTAAATGCGTCTAAGTCGGTAGAAATTGTGTTCACCAACAGACCTTTTGTTCACATTCCTCTTCATTTAGGAAATTCTGAAATTCCTTGCGACACAGTCGCCCGTTATTTAGGCCTCCATCTGGATTCCAGGCTCAAATGGGGTGCACACATAAGGAAAAAAGTCGAACAATTAAGACTTAAATTTCACGATATGCAGTGGCTGATAGGCCGCAAATCCAAGTTACCCTTAGAAACCAAAGTGCTCCTCTACAAGTCAATGTTGAGACCGGTTTGGAGTTATGGATGCCAGTTGTGGGGCTGCGCATCCAAATCTAACATTAAAAAGATAGAAATCATCCAAATGAAAATTTTACGAAGCATTTCAAAAGCCAGATGGTATGAGAGAAACGTGGATATTCGCGCTGATCTCAACATTGACTCTGTAGAGGACTACATAACAAAAATGTATAACTCTTATGAAAATAGGTTGCATTGGCACCCCAATCCTGAAGCGCTCGCACTTCTCGAAAAAGACCGATGCATCCGAAGATTAAAACGTCGTAAACCCCACGAGCTTGGAATCCAGGGGTTCTCAAAATTTTCCATCTTTTAAATCAATGAGCCTCCTTGCGCTTTTCGAACGCAATCAGGGGTTCTTGGGTCTTTGACCGATCTCGGTCTCCCACCGTCCAAGTTAAATCAAAAAGACATTTTTACTCTAAAGCAAAATTGTTTTTATTTTTCTCCTCACTACAAAGAGGGTGTATATCATATATTAATTTGTTTTAATATATTCCTAGTTACTTAGCTAAAACAAATATTCGTAACATAGTATAAGTTTATCTTATAAGTTAAATTTAAGTTTTTTACAGATGTATCAACATCTAAAAACCATCCTGTACATATTATATTTTGTGCAAATAAAAAAAAAAAAAAAAAAAAAAACATTTTGTACCATCAAACACAACAGTTGACAGTGCGTATTATTGCAAAGTACTAAAGGAGTTGAGAATGCACATTTCCCGGAAACGGTCGGACTTGAAAGCTTCGTGGATACTCCATCAAGACAATGCGCGGCCTCACACATCGAGCTTAACACGTGAATTTATAAGTAAAAATGGAGTTGAAACAATCCCTCATCCCCCTTATAGCCCTGACTTGGCTCCATGTGATTTTTGGATGTTTCCTACGCTTAAAAAGGAGCTTCGCGGACGAAGATTCGTATCGAAGACCGAAATCCAGAATGCAATTCAAAACTTCTTCAACTCCATCCCAGAGGAAGAATTCAGGAAAACAATGTTGGATAAGTGGCAAGAGCGCATGAAAAAGTGCATCCGGTTTGATGGACGGTACTTTGAAAAGCAAAAGGAAGTTATGGAAGATTCGGAGGAAAGTGGATACGAATATTAACTTTTTGAATCCTGGTAAGCGAAAAATCTTCCTAAAAACCGTAGGGGTAAACTTTCCTCACTAATTTCAAATTGTCATAACTCGGTCAATTTTTATTCGATTGAGCTGATCTTGGTTTTAATCGATAGGTATTGAGTTGATCTTTAAAATGAGACCAAAATCATGTCTGTATCTATCTTACTTTTGAAGTTACAGAACCAGTCCCGGTACTTTTGGGACACCCTACGTATGATATTTTTACTCTACACATATGCCCGAATACGCATCATAAGGGACCTATGTGCTTCCTAAGTTGCCAAGTATTAATTATTGTTAGATGATTGGTCTAAAACATTCAATACAACCAGTAAAAATTAACTGTCCCCTACGAGATTCGAACCCCCGCTCGCACAAAAAGTGTCACTCTCCCAGAGGCAAAACGGTAACGCAGCCAGTTGAGCTATTTCGCTGTTCAGATATGCATTGAGAAAAAGAGAACACTTAAGTGATCTCGGACGCTGAGCGGGGCTTCACAAAAGACGTCCTTGAGATTTCAACGGTTCGGCCACTGGCGTGATAAGACACAACGGATCAACCGC